GGTATTCAAAATTATTTACAAACAAGAAGGCATGGCCACTGACCAATCAGAATGAATGTCTTCCATAAACAAATGATAGGAAGCCATACTAGGGCATTTCAGGCAGATAGACAAATATCACACTGTTTTGGATATTTCATTTGATTATGGGTGAGTGTCATATTGCATTCCTAAGCCTAACTAATTTTACAAGTGATTATGCAGACGTAACACTAGCCAAAGGAAGAGAGTGAATTCCCTGTCCAACCATTTGAGAGTCCAAAGCTTACTACTCAAGCATTTAAAAAGACCCATGAGATCTCTCCCCCCATGCCTCCCAAACCATAGAAATAATCTTTTTTGTAAGGATGACATCTCAGAAGGGAAAAGTGAATAGCTACAAAGAGAGTGGGGCTTTTGTTCAGTCTTAATTCTGGGACACTGCACCTGTGATACATCAGACTTAAACTCTAGATGTTAAAACTCAATTAAGTTATTATTTTTTTTCTTTAAAGTAGGGGTGGAGAGAGAATGAAGTCTATACTGTATGGTTTGGGATATTGGCCTTGTGTGATACTGACTGCTAAGAAGAACATCTTTTGACTGAAGGTGGTTTTTTTTCTGTTTTATTTAAAAAATTTTTAAATATAATTTATTGTCAAGTTGGCTAACATACAATGTATATAGTGTGCTCTTGGTTTTAGGGGTAGATTCCAATAATTCATTGCTTACATAAAATACCCAGTGCTCATTGCCCGTCACCCATTTTCTCCTTTTCCCTGCCCCCCCATCAGCCCTCAGTTTTTTTCTCTGTATTTAAGAGTCTCTTATGGTTTGCCTCCCTCCCTCTCTGTTTGTAACTATTATTTTTGCCCTTTCCATCCCCAATGGTCTTCTACCAAGTTTCTCAAGTTCCACATATGAGTGAAAACATTTGATATCTATGTTTCTCTGACTGACTTATCTCACTTAGCATAATACTGTCCAGTTCCATCCACTTTGCTACAAATGGCAGGATTTCATTCTTTCTCACTGCCAAATAGTATTCCGTTGTATATATAAACCACATCATCCTTATCTATTCATCAGTTGATGGACATTTAGACTCTTTCCATAATTTGGCTATTGTTGAAAGCACTGCTATAAACATTGGGGTATATGTGACCCTATGAATCAGCACTCCTATTCCCTTTGGATAAATTCCTAGTAGTGCTATTGCTGAGTCTTAGGATAGTTCTATTTTTAATTTTTTGAGGAAATTCTACACTGTTTCCCAGAGTGGCAGCACCAGTTTGCATTCCCACCAACAGTGCAAGAGAGTTCCCATTTCTCCACATCCTTGCCAGCATCTATTGTTTTCTGAGTTGTTAATTGTAGCCACTCTGACTGGTGTGAGGTGGTATCTCAATGTAGTTTTGATTTGTATTTCCCTGATGTTGAGTGATGTTGAGCATCATTTCATATGTCTGTTGACCATCTGGATGTCTTCTTTGGAAAAGTGTCTATTCATGTCTTCTGCCCATTTCTTCACTGGATTATTTGTTTTTCAGGTGATGAGGTTGATAAGTGCTTTATAGATTTTGGATACTAACCCTGTATGTGAAATGTCATTTGCAAATATCTTTTCCCATTCTGTCAGTTGTCTTTTAGTTTTGTTGATTGTTTCCTTTGCAGTGCAGAAGCTTTTTATCTTGATGAGGTTCCAGTAGTTAATTTTTGCTTTTATTTCCCTTGCCTTTGGAGATGTATTGAGCAAGAAATTGCTGCAGCTGAGGACAAAGAGGTTGTTACCTGCTTTCTCCTCTAGGGTTTTGATGGTTTCCCATCTCACACCTAGGTCTTTCATCCATTTTGAGTTTATGTTTGTGTATAGTGTAAGAAAGTGGTCTAGCTTCATTCTTCTTCATGTTGCTGCCTGGTTCTCCCAGCACCATTTGCTAAAGAGACTATATTTTTTCCATTGGATACTCTTTTCTGCTTTGTCAAAGACTAGCTGGCCATACATTTGTGGGTCCAATTCTATGTTTCCTATTCTCCATTAGTCTATGTGTCTGTTTTTGTGCCAATACCATACTGTCTTGATGATTACAGGTTTGTAGTAGAGGCTAAAGTCTGGGATTGTGATGTCTCCTGTTTTGGCTTTCTTCCTCAGTATTACTTTGACTATTCGGGATCTTTTGTAGTTCCATACAAATTTTAAGATTGTTTGTTCTAGCTTTGAGAAGAATGCTGGTGCAATTTTGATTGGAATTGCATGGAATATGCACTTTGGATAGTATTGATATTTTAACAATACTTGTTCTTCCAATCTATTAGCATGGAATGTTTTTCCTTTTACATTTCTTTGTGTCTTCTTCAATTTCCTTCATAAGTTTTCTGTAGTTTTCAGCATACAGATCTTTTACATCTTTGGTTATATTTGTTCCTAGGCATTTTATGGTTCTTGGTGCCATTGTAATGGGATTGACTTCTTGATTTCTCTTTCTGTTGCTTCATGATTGGTGTATATAAATGCAACCAATTTCTGTACACTCATTTTGTGTCCTGCAACTTTGCTGAATTCATGTATCAGTTCTAGCAGCTTTTTGGTGGAGTCTTTCAGGTTTTCCATGTAAAGTATCATGTCATCTGCAACAAGTGAAAGTTTGACTTCTTCCTTGCCAATTTGGATGCCTTTTATTTCATTTTGTTGTCTGATTGCTGATGCTAAGACTTCCAACACCATATTCAACAACAGTGGTGAGAGTGGACATCCCTGTCATGTTCCTGATCTCAGGGGGAAAGCTCTCAGTTTCTCCCCATTGAGGATGATACTGGCTGAGGGCTTTTAATCTATGGTTTTTATGATGTTAAGGTATGTTTCTTCTATCCTGACATTCTTGAGGGTTTTATTAAGAAAGGATGCTGTATTTTGTTAAATGCTTTTTCTGCATCTATGACAGGATTATATGGTTCTTATCTTTTCTTTTATTAATGTGATGTATCACATTGACTGATTTGCAAATACTGAACCAGACCTACAGCCCAGGAATGAATCCCACTTGATCATGGTGAATAATTCTTTTAATATGCTGTTGAATTCAAGTTGCTAGTGTCTTGTTGAGCATTTTTGCATCCATGTCCATCAGGAATATTGGACTGTAATTCTCATTTTTTTGTGGGGTCTCTGTCTGGTTTGGGAATCAAGGTAATGCTGGCTTCATAGAATGAGACTGGAAGCTTTCTTTCCATTTTTATTTTTTGGAACAGCTTGAGAAGGATATGTATTAGCTCTGCTTTAAATGCCTGGTAGAATTCTCCTAGGAAGCCATCTGGCCTGGGACTCTTATTTAGTGAGAGATTTTTGATAATTGATTCAATTTTTTTGCTGTTTATGGGTCTGTTCAAATTTTTCTATTTCTTCCCATTTAAGTTTTGGTAGTGTGTGGATGTCTATGAATTTGTCCATTTCTTCCAGGTTGTCTAGTTTGCTGGCATATAATTTTTCATAGTATTCTCTGGTAATTGTTTGTATTTCTGTGGTGTTCATTCTCATATGTCCTATTTCATTCATGATTTTATCTATTTGGGTCCTCTCTCCTTTCTTTTTGAGAAGGCTGGCTAGGGGGTTATCAATTTTATTTTTTCAAAAAAAAAACAGCTCTTAATTTCATTGATCTATTCTACTGGCTTTTTAAAAAATCCTATATTGCTTATTTCTGTTCTAATCTTTACTATTTATCTTCTTCTGCTGGCCTTGGGGTTTCTCTGCTGTTCTGCTTCCAGTTCCCTTAGGTGTGTTGTTAGATTTTGTATTTGGGATTTTTCTTGTTTCGTGAGGTAGGCCTGGATTACAATGTATTTCCTCTTAGGACTGTCTTTGTTGCATCCCGAAGGATTTGGATTGTCATGTTTTCATTCTCATTTCCGTCTATACATTTTTTAATTTCTTCTATAATTGCCTCATTAACCCATTCATTCTTTAGCAGGATGTTCTTGAACCTCCATGCATTTGGACATTTTCTAAACTTTTCCTGTGGTTGATTTCAAGTTTCATGGCATTGTGATCTAAAAATATGCATGGTATGATCTCAATTCTTTTGTATTTATTAACAGCTGTTTATGACCCAGTATATGATCTATCTTGGAGAATGTTCCATGTGCCCTTGAGAAAAATGTATATTCTGCTGCTTTCGGATGAAAAGTTCTAAATCTATGTGTCAAGTCTGTCTGGTCCAGTATCTCATTCAGGCCCATTGTTTCTTTATTGATTTTCTGCCTAGATGGTCGGTCCATTGCTGTAAGTGGAGTAATAAAGTCCTCTGCAATTACCATATTCTTATCAATAAGATTGCTTATGTTTGTGATTAATTGATTTATATATTTGAGTGCTTCTGAATTTGGTGCATAAACATTTATAATTGTCAGCTCTTCTTGATGGATAGACTACATAATTATGAATTAATTCCCTTCTTCATCTCTTGTTACAGCCTTTAGTTTAAAATCTAGTTTGTCTGATATAAGTATGGCTCCTCCAGCTTTCTTTTGACTTCCAGTAGCATAATAGATAATTCTTCATCCCCTCACTTTCAGGCTGCTGGTGTCCTTAGGTATAAATGGATCTCTTGCAGACAGCATACAGATGGATCTTGTTTTTTTATCCATTCTGATACCCTAAGTCTTTTGATTGAAACATTTAGTCCATTTACATTCAGCGTTGTTATTGTAAGATATGGATTTAGTGTCATTGTGTTATCTATAGGTTTCATGGTTGTGGTGATATTTCTGGACCTTTGTAGTCTTTGCAACATTCCACTCACAGAGTCCCCCTTGGGATCTCTTGCAAGGCTGATTTAGTGGTTTTGAACTCCTTCAGCTTTTGTTTGTCTGGAAAGGTTTTTATCTCTCCTTCTATTTTGAATGACAGGCTTGCTGGATAGAGGATTCTTGGCTGCATATTTTTACTGTTCATCACATTGAAGATTTCCTGCCATTCCCTTCTAGCCTGCCAAGTTTCAGTGGACAGGTCAGCTACTACTTTTAAAAATATGGAGTGCTTCACTAATTTTCATGTCATCGTTGCACAGGGGCCATGGTAATCTTCTCAGTATTGTTCCAATTTTAGTACATGTGCTGCCAAAGCGAGCATTGGAGGGTGTTTTCAATGTAATATTAGACCAGGACCATATCTAAGGATTGTGTAAGTCATGGCCTTAAAAAATCAGTGCGTTCTTCAGTTTTTTGGTACTAGCTATATTGCTTGCCATTTCTTTGTCCTGTCCTTGTGTTAGACCTATGACCCTAGAGTGAGAAGTCCTGCTTCCCTTTTGCTTAGAAACTCAGATTGTTAAAACACTGCAGACATTCACTTGTTCAGAAATGTTTTCACTGTTCTTATTGCATCTTTACGTAATTGTCATCTTACTTTATTTTCCAAAGTATGTGCAGTTGACCCTTGAACAATGCAGGGGGTAGGTATGCTGACCCTCTACAGAGCTGAAAATCCACATATAACCTAGACTTTCCCAGAACTTAACCACCAATAGCCTACTGTTGACCAGAAGTCTTACCAATAACATAAACAGTAGATTAACACATATTTTGTATGTTATATTTATTATATATATTCTTACAATAAAGTAAGCTAGAGAAAAGGATACATTATTAAGAAAATCATAAGGAGGAGAAAGTACATTTACAGTACTGTACTATATTTACTGATACTTTAAATTTATGACATCTGCAAGATGGGTTGTCTATCAGTACCTATATCAATATTGTCTTATATGATACAAAACACTGTAGATCTTCTATGTATTGGTAACACTGGACATCAAAAATGAAAAGGTAATGTGAAAAATATTTATAGGCATAGCAATTCATTCATTGATAACAAAGAAGCCACAGTATGATTGCTTTACAGTAGCCTAGTGTAATCAATATGATTGCTTAGGGGTAGCCTAATCTACACACCAATGAATAGTTATAAATATTCTATTGCATAGAGTATTATAGTCATATTCATAATGCAGTATTGGAAACATTGCTAACATTTTCTAACAACACACTTACGTGCGATGGTACACAGTTTCTATAATTAGAGAGATAGGCAGGCATACAGTATAGTAATATAATTCTTGGAAAGCAAAGTTACAAAACAGCAAGAAAACAAACATTATTAATCTTATATTAAAAATCACTCACCTTATGCCTATGTAAGGATAGGCTATCCATTTCCATACAAGTCTTGCACACAATGTTCTACATGATATATACTTAGTCAGTGATGATGGCACAAAAATGTCTCCTACAGTTCTTGCCAACAGTTGTTAGTTTTTCACATGAAGACACACATGCGCATATGTAACAGGTAAGTTTATTAACTGCCTGCCATGATGATTACTTACTATTCATTAAATGAAAGTTGATCATCATAAAAGTCTTCATCCTTTTCATTTTCATGTTGAATAGGCTGAGGAGGTGAAGAAAGAGGAGGGGTTGGACTTGCTGTGTCTGTGGTGACAGAGGTGGAAAAGGTGGAGGAAGTGCAAGGAGAGGCAGGAGGAGCAGGCACACTGGGTGTAACTTTACAGAAGTACATTGCAATTTCTGAATTTTTGCTTTATCATTTCTCTAAAAAATGTTTCTATACAGTACCAGTTCTTCCACCATTTGCTTTCGTTTCAGTGCCTGTTTCATAGAAGGATCTATGTTGTAAAATAAGTCTTAAATAATCAGAACCCTTCTGCCAGATTGTCTAATGTCAATTTGTTTTCTGGCACTGCTTCTACCTCTTTTCCTCATTGTCTGGCACTGGTTTAGAAGCACTCATCTCCATCAAATTGTCTTCTGTTCATTCCTCTGGTGTGATGTCTGTTAGCTCTTGAATTTCTCTAAATCCATGTCTCAAAACCCTTCACCTCCCACCTTTTTTGCCATATCCACAGTCTCTTTCATGATTTTCTTGATTGACTCTGCTGTGAATCCTGTGAAGTCATGTACAACATCTGGACACAGTTTTCTCTACAGCAATTTATTGTTTCAGGCTTTGATGGCTTTCACAGCTTTTTATGTAGCAAGGATGGCATCTCTAATGGTGTAATCCTTCCAGACTTTCATGATGTTCTCCCTATCAGGGTTCTATTCCATAGCTTGACATTTCTTTCCATGAGGTACCATGCGTAATGAGCTTTAAAGGTCCTTATAATACCCTGATCTATAGGCTGAATTTGTGTTTGGGGGCAAATAAAACAATTTCTTTCAATGTTGAACTCATAGAGTTCTGGGTGGCTAGGAGCACTGTCCAATATCAAAAGAACTTAAAAAGCAGTCTCTTACTGGCAAGGTACTTCCTGATTTCAGGGAGAAAACATTCATAGAACCAATCCAGAAAAAGCGTTCTCATTGTCCAGGCCTTCTTGTTGTACAATCAAAGACTGGCAGCTGGTGTTTATCTTTTCCTTTCAAGGCTTGGGGGTTAACCACTTTAAAGATAAAGGGAGATAATGGTGGTCCTGATCATAAACCCAACTGCAACTGCACAAAACAGTAGAGTTAGCCTATCCCTTCTTGCATTAAATAATGGTGCTCACTTCTTTTCCTTAGTAATAAATGTCCTTTGAGGCATTTTGTACAGATTAGGACACCTTTGTCTGCATAAAAAACCTGTTGATGCACATATCCTTTTTCCTCAACAATTTTCTCATGGTATCTCATCTGGAAACTCATCTGCTGCCTCTTGATCAGCAGAAGGTGCTTCTTTTATTATCTTGACATTGTTAAAGCCAAACCTCTTTGTAAAATTATCAAACCATCCTTTCCTGTAATCATATTCTCCAACTTTAGGTCCTTTACTTTTTATTTTGCTTAAAGTTGTCATATAATGATTTTGCTTTTTCTCAAATCATATTAGAGTCTGTAGTTATGTCTTTCTTATAACAATCCTGTACTCACATAAAAGCTGCGTTTTCAATACAAGATAAAAATGTATTTCACAAAAAGTGCAAGGTTTTCACACCGGCTCATGTGGCCACAGTGACAGCTTTACACATTTGCTTTTCTTTTTTCTTTTCTTTTCTTTTCTTTTCTTTCTTTTCTTTTCTTTTTTTTTTTTTTTTAAATATTTTATTTATTTCTAGGAGAGAGAGAGAGAGAGACAGTGTGAGCAGGGGAGGGTCAGAGAGAGAAGGAGTCACAGACTGAAACAGGCTCCAGGCTCTGAGTTGGCAGTCAGCACAGAGCCCGATGCGGGGCCCAAACCCATGAACCGCGAGATCATGACCTAAGCGAAAGTCAGACGCTTAACCGACTAAGCCACCCAGGCGCCCCTCTTTTCTTTTCTTTTTACCATGTCCTTACCCTGGGTTCATTTATCTTGAAATGGTGGGCAACCACAGCTGCAGACCTCAATCTATGGTATGTTTCAAGCAATTCATCTTTTTCTTGTAATGTCATGACTTTTCTTCGCTTCTTGAGAGCACTTCCAGCATCACTAATGGCACTTCATATCGGTCCCATGGTGTTGTTCAAGGCTTATGGTATTGCACTGAACATGATGAAAAATATGCAAGAACCAAGAGAAATTACTGCAATACACAATTTACCAAAAAGATGAACTGCTCACCCAGAGATGATTAGTGTCATACAGCATTTTAAGCGGATACTCCTAGTGCTTAAACTCACCGCTATGAAATTATTACAGTTGTGTAGTGTGTACTACAATTAATCTTATGCAGTTATGATTTAATACTGCATCTTTACATTTGTTTACATTTCTCTGGATTGCAAATGGTGTCATGTACAATCTATAAGTGTGTGTGTAAGTTTTTATAAATTTTAACTTTTGATAATAGATTTGTGTACATGTTATGGTAGCAAGTGATAAAATAGATTAGCACCTACATATAATTTACGTATTCATTATGTGCCTAATTTTTTCTTGATTTTTCAATATGTCTGGAGTACATGGTTCATCTATAAGTTGTTTCAAATTGTCACAAATTTCAAAAGAAAATTGTCCAATATACTTATTGAAAAAGTCCTGTAAGTAGCCCTGTGCAGTTCAAACCTGTGTTGTTCTGGGGTCAACTGTATTTTTATTTTATTTTATTTATTTATTTATTTATTTTTCTGAGAGAGAGAGAGACAGACAGACAGCATGAGCAGGGGAGGGTCACAGAGAGAGAGAGACACAGAATCCAAAACAGGCTCCAGGCTCTGAGCTGTCAGCACAGAGCCCAGTGTGGGGCTCAAATACACGAACCGTGAGATCATGACCTTAGCCGAAGTTGGACGCTTAACCAACTGAGCCACCCAGGTGCCCCTCAACTGTATTTTTAGAAGTATGTAAGTAAAATAGAAATCTATGTTTACAAAAAAGCTCAAATTCAAAAATATAAAGAGGAAGAAAGTGATCTCCTTTGAGTTTCTCTCTCCATTCAGCCCAGTTCATTCTCTTTAGATAATTGTTGCTATTTACTGATTCTTCCACACTTTTTTCTCTGCACTTATATGCATACACATGCATTTTGCCTATAAACACTTAAATATTTAATAGAATCATCCTTTACTTATTGTTCTGTAACCCTTTTTCCTTCTCATGGTATATTTTGCAGAGTTTTCTATAGCAGGAGCTATAGCTAGATTCTATTTTTAAATGCTACATAATTGTGTGTTCAAAATAAGAAACATGCTAACATGCTAAGTACCTGTTATGTGCCAGATAATATTCTGGCTCTTTAGAATGGTATCACATTTAATTCACACAATAGCCCTACAAACAAGGAAGTCTTGTCTTCTTTTTACCATTGGGGGAGACTGAGTCACTGAAAAGCTAAGCAATTTGGCCAAGGTCACATTGCTGGTAAACAGTGGAGCTGAGCTATGAACCCAGACATTTTGGTTCTGAAAACTTTGTTCTACTACACTCTGCTCCTAGTATGTATGTATGTATGTATGTGTATATATATGTGTATATACATACATATACATATACATATACATATACGTATATATACATATATATCCCTGGACATTTAGATTGCTCCAGTTTTAGAATATTGTAAGTGATATTGCATTGAAAAAAATCCCCATTTATATGTCTTTGTGTGCATGATCAAATATTTCTGTAGAATAGAACCTCAAAAATAT